GTGCTGCTCCCAGCCTTGTAGCCCCTGGGTCTTCTCCCAGACCCCATGAGAGGACTCTGTGGCACTGCTGCTTCTAGCTTTCTCTCACCCTCTGGTCTCTTCCCAGGCCCAGAGAAAGCTACTTCTGCTCTATGCTGCAGTCCCTCGCCTCAGAATCTTCCCTTTCTCTAGCTGCCTCTCCCCTTAGCTCCCTTCTGTTGGAAGCTTTGAACTTTCTGTGGCCAGCCAATTATCTGTATCAGCTAGCCCAGTCCTCCTAGGCAGCCTGTAATCACTTCTGACTGCCTGCAGCTGGGCTGTAGTCCTTGCCAGCCTGCAGAGTACTATAGCCTGATGTGTAGCAGCTTGCTCCAAGTCTCTCTAAGCCAGCAGCATGCTACAGGAACAAAAGTAGAACAATGCTTTTATTGCAGAGAACTTGGAAAGATCACAGCAGGTCAAAATGTTTTTGACACTATGGCTTCCTATTCAAAATCTCTGGTTTTATCTTATGAATCATGTGTAGGTGTCAGCATACCTAACAGTGGTAATGTTGAGTGATACCCTATAGTACCCTTAAATTAATCTCATGGCATGCAACCCAGGGTACCATGGCACCCTGGTTGAGAATTACAGGTCTAACTATATAGATTAGGGCTGCCAATTAATCACAGTTAATGTGCACGATTAATATGTTAATCGGTTCTTGAATTTTTTTACAGTGTTAATTGCGCACATGGTTTTGGAGTCCATGCCGGGGCTTCACTTCACCACCTCTGGGCCACCCAGTGGGACAACAGTGGCAGTTCAGAGGGCTGCAGTGCAACCTGGGGGTGGGCTCCAGGTGGCTGCAGTGGGGGAAGGGGTTAGATTGAGGCCCCCATAGTAAGGGATGGAGTGGGGAAGTGGCAAGTGCTGGCGTGAATGGGGCCCTGGGGTTGGGGCTGGGGCTGGGTCAGGGCGTGGCTCCCCACTACTGCACACACCCTTGGGAGGCATGGTGGGCACATACCCCCCAGATTTATGCTCAGGACAGAGGTGGGCTGCCCACTGTGAGCTGTGGCTCTGCGCCCTGCTGTTGTTGCCCCAGGAGTCGTGCAACACCATGTTGTGCCTCCTGCTGCTGGGTGGGCAGGGTGTGCAGTGTGGCCACGGGGCCCCATTGACCCCAGGACCTGCCCCTGCCCCACTCCCTCCCTCACTGTAGGGGCCTCGATCTCCCTCCCTGCCCTTCCCTTGCCCTCTGTCCCTCCTGCTCCACAAACTTACCTGCTGGGTGCTGTCTGTGTGTGTGTATCTGCCCCTCACTCCTAAGCCACAGCCCCACCAGCCCTGTTGCTACCCCTCACTCCTGACCCACAGTACCCCACATCCTGCCAGGGTGTGTGGGGACCCCCCTTCCTGGGCTCCAATCCCACACACACACCCACAGCTCCCTACACATACATAAATTCCCCCGCACACAGCCCCCCAACCAAATAAAGTACCTGCATAATTGTGCATAATTTTGAGTTCTTCTGTGCATAATTTTGAGTTTTTAGCTGTGCAATTAAATCGCAATTAATTGCGGCTAATTTTTTTAATAATGCAAGTAATCGCAATCACATTTTGTGATTGTTTGATATCCCTAATATAGACTTCATAAAACTGGAACATCATTCCCTGAAAACTGGTTTCTAACAAATTCCTAGAAACAGAGGGCTAAGATCAGGGATAGAGATGACAATTTGTTTTTGGTTTATGGGTAATATACTTTCAAAATCAAATTAAGAGGCAAGTCTGGCTCAAACACAAAAGCTGAAGTTGTAGGGTTCTGAATGGATGATTTGCTGCCTAGGCTTGACTGACAACCCAATACACAGGGGAATATCCTTCAATCTGGATTAGTAAAGGTGTATCACAGAAAACAATTTTCAGTTACGATACTTCATTCCCTCTGGTATTGTTGTCTATCCTGAGCCAGCCAACTATTAACTGGGTCTGAAACTGTTTTGAAATTAACATTTAATCTATAATGTAATATTCCACCTGATTTACAGCACAAATAATGCTAAATCTTAATCTGTGTTTGTCTTCTGATTTTTTAGTAGAAATCCTTTTTACAGCTCATTTCATTTGACCATCTCATAGATATGAGATATTTCATTCATATATATTTGTGATAAGTGTTAATTCAGTACTAATAACAGTTATAGTTCTGTTGTTATAGTGCTTCTTTTATGACAATGCAGATCTCAATTGACTGTTGTTTTGCCTGTGACTTTCCTTGGGTTTCCTTTATGTATGCTGATTGGGATTTAGCATACCAATTAATTTCCCCAAATGTCTGGAAACATAGAGCTTTTCACTTGACTGAAATGGCAGCACGCCAGTTGCTCCAACTTATCGAGATGTTATTAAAGAGAGACAGAGGCTCAGAAGGGAATTCCAGGAGGATTATACTGAGTAAGTTTAAAGCCGTTTGTAAAATACATAGGGGTTTTAGAGTGATACTATGCTATGGCTACTAGGGCCGTGGATAGGGGTTACATTTATAGTGAGATGTACAGTCTTTTAGCACCATAAACTATAACAGTATAGACATTCAAGTAGTTTCTTGCAGGGTAAAAAAGGCTGTTGCATGACACAACATTAGCTTCTTCCAACAGCAGTTTCTTAGCAGTGCAGCAAATTCTAGCACCACAGGTAATGCCTATACCACCATGCATAGCACCACAAAGCATGACTCAGTCCTCCAGCATCCGAGGACGCTTGGCTTCTCCACACCCCACTCCTTCTCCCTACATCTCCCAGTTTGAGGGAGTCTATCAATCATGAACTCTACTGCTCCTGGGAGGTGGAACTGGGTTCACAGGTCACTATACAGATTTGCTGGGTTTTTTTGGTGAACTGGATAAAATCATCCTGCCCAAAAAACAGCAGGATGAATCTACCTCCCAAACCCTGCTGCTGTACACAAAATATCCAGTCCTCTAATATCTTTGATATTATCTATAAGCCAAGTAAGGGCACCAAGCAAGAACTTGTGAGTGGTTGAGCTTGTGTGTGAGTTAGCTCTTGGCAACTGGGAAATGCCATAGCCAGGGTGAAGGGGAGACTCTTCAGCATCTTTGCTAAAGCACAAGGAGTGTCAGAGCTCGGTGGGCAATGGTATTTGAGGGCAGAATGGTGCAAGTGTGTTTAGTACAGTCACTGGCTGTTGTCATTTGGAATGCCCATCAGTGGGATGAAGGGGAGTCCCTGCAGCTGCCCTTCCTGAAGTGGAGGGAGTATCAGAGCCCTTCTCCCACTGATGATCTCCAATGGGCTGATGAGGCTAATGAATCACTGTGCAAGAACCTGCTGGATATACCTCCTGAACCACCTTTACCACTGGGCACTTGCCTAAGCCAAGCTGGTTGGTAAATCAGAGACCATGTGACCAGGGCCTCAGTCATGTCTGTGTGGTCATACACGGTGCTGTGCATCAGCCTTCACAGGGACTGAATGAGCACTTTGAAGAAGTGGTGGCAGGCTTTGACTCTGCCAGAAGTACAGTGGCACTGAACCTGTGGTGCTCTTGGATCAGAAGCCATTGCTTGCTGGAAGTGAAATTGATGAGCCTTTAGCAGTGGAAATGGACCAGGCATGTTGTGGCCCTGCATCCCTAGTGTGGGGGGAGGGAAGGCGAAAAGGAGGGAGGAGTCCTTCATGGGTGGTTCCCTGGACAGCCAGCCAGTCAGCACTTTCCTCCACACTTGGCTGTCCTCAGGAACCTCCAGAGACAGGGGCCTCTACAAAGCACACTGGGATCATGGCACACTGGGCCCACAGGCAGTATAGGCTTTCACCATGCTCTGTGGTGCTTCAGCTGATCAGGCATTTGGATGTCTGCAGATGCATTTCTTGCTATCTTTTCATGGTGCTGCAAATTTCCAGGAAATTCTTAGTGCTCTGAATGAACATCTGCCCATACTCTCTGACAGCAGATGAATGCCTGCCCAGACCCTACCATTCCTTCTGATGTTCTGTAAATAATTATTGCCTACTGAGTTAACACACATTGTAAATTTCAAAAACACGGTCCTGATACCCTCCCACTGAAGCAAATGATTCCAAAGGAGAAAAAAAGCAGTCCCACATTTACATGATGTAAAAACAATGAGCTGGAGAATAACTTGTCAGCAGAACTAAGATGATACAGAACATTAATATGGCTATTAAAAGCCTGGCACTATCTTCATTCTATATCCTTTTAGAAGGGCTCACAGTGCTTTTTTTAAAGCAAAGTACATGAAAGGAGTATGCTACATTGGATGCTTTTTCCAGAAAAGGGCAGAAAATGCTTTTTCTCAACTGTAGTCAGAAGAAACCTAAGACAATATATTATTTAAGAAATCACAAATCTAGGAAGCCTTACCACCTTGTTTGGAAAGCTGCAGGAGTCCCAGTACTTTAGGAACTTGCTTCCAGACCAAAGTCTTGCTTTAACTGTTTTGCAGCAGTATTACTGCTACTTGTTGCTTAACTATATACTGTTTGACATCACTCTGAAGGTGTTTAGTTTTTCTTTTACTACTTCTTCACAGGCAAAGCAAAGCTGCAATGTTGCTTCATTTTTCTTTATTTGGGAGGACTTTTTTTTTGTGACTGCCTAAAAATGCTTGAGTGCCTTTTTAAGTCTAAACTTTGAGTAGTTTGGATTTCTCGTTGAAGTATAATATTGAATTTTGGCTTTGCAGACAGCAGAACAAGCATAAAGAAGCAATTGAAGAAATAAAACAGCAAAGAAAAAAAACTGACCAGCAGTTTCAAAGGTTTGCATTTACCCTTTTAAATTACCTTAGGATTTCTCATTAGTTCCCCCATGAGCATTTTCATTTTCAATTACAGAGAGCACAATTCTGAAATGTAACATACCTTGATATTCCCTGAGAAACATGGCTTCACATTTGGGGATATTCAGAGACTACAAAGCATGTGCTGCTGGATTTAAACAAAAATGTTGCTAATAAAAACTGGTTTATTTTGTTCCTAGACTGATAGAGAACAAGTCCATGCACCCCACTGAACTAAGGCTCAGCACAGATATATTAATGAATGAATTGGTATGTATTTAAATGGATATAATACTAATTACAACCTATTTTCCTTCTGCAATAAAAATGATTTTCAGATGAATTGGGTGTATAATCTAGAATCAAGGTATTTCAAAAGCAGGATATGGATGGTTAAATGTACTCTGAGTTGAATATGCTTGTAAAGGGAGAATAAATAATAAGCATCTGCCAAACATAATGCCTGAGATGAGATAAGAGTGACATGGAGAATAAAAGCAAAGATAAGTCATTTGGAAATCAAAAGCCAAGTTCTTTCTTAGATTTCTGTGCCTGACCTGCAGATTTGGGAGATCCCTGCCTGCCATCCAGTGATTTTTACGTATCTGTTTGCAGATCTTGATGAAAATCTGCACATTTGCTCCATATTAGTAGCATGTAACCCATTAGCATACACAGGTAGTCATACAGGAGGCCTATATCAAGCTTAGAACCTTTCTGTGGAGGTTTGCTTTTCTAATTCTTATTGGCAGCCCTTAGCACTTTCCTTTCCTTTCACAACTAGATCTCTTTCCTCTTTTCTTCCTCCTCCACCTGCCTTATTCCCTGTCTGTCAGCCGATTTCCCTGATCTTTAGTGTTCTCTGTTTCACTTTCTTCTCTTTTTGCACCTCCCCTCCTCAAAAAAGCAGAGCTATTTTTCTGTTGGTGATACTGACATTATATATTCCCTGGGAGACTCCCCAAAAGGTCTGACACCCTGTGCTGGTGCTTGGCCATCTGCTGTGTTCATTTCTGGCACACGATCTACACCGAGTTAACAGGACTTGAGAAATCACTTTTGACCAAGATAGCCTGGGTAATGTACTGTCTATCTCTTCTGACATTCACACGTATCTCTAGAGAGTTGGGTACAGGGGAAAAGTCTTCCCCACCCTTCATGGTCCTGAAGCTGCAAGACCTCTGGTGAGGATCCACCACATTGGACCAGGGGATAAAAGTTATACACTGGTGGGTACAGCATCCCAAGGCTCCTTCCTCACCAGTCTGAGGAATGAGTGGGCCAGGCTGGTACATTCAAATCCAGGGCTGTGTGAAGCCACAGCCATTTTCCTTAGACAGGAGGTGGGATGCGATCTGCATGATTACTAGATTGTTATTACTATTGCAGCTCGGAGGCCCAGGTCTGGGGGAAGGACTCTTTTCCTAATCTATCTGGGTGAGACCTGCCCTATATCAAGCTTGGGTTTTATTTAAGTGCTTGTGTGAAAATTTTTCTCTCAATGGGCATTTAAAAAAAAATAACAAAAAAGTAAGTTCTGTAAATGGCCAAGAGGCCTCAAGCTCTTGTAGCATTTTTACTTGACAGATTTCTGCAAACACATATCAAGTTTAATAGATGACTTGTTTTTTAGTAGTCCAAGCACTATAATGTCCACTTGATCATTTGTAAGTGAGTTACAGGAAAGCACAGTTTCACGTGCTTTCAAAAATATTACAGATTCTGTTGAATCTTCCAAACATGCCACCTTTGCACTAAGATCAAGCAGGAGAAATGTAGCGTTCAAGGCAAATTTCTGAAAAAGTTACACAGTGCAAAATGAGTTCTGAATAGAGCGGCTCTCTTGCCTTCTGTTTATGGTACTTATGGTCATCTGCTTTGGTCAAGAAACCAAAAAGCCCATGGTTCAGTTTCTTCATATTGCAGTTGCCTCAATGTCTGTTAAATACATTCTGAAAAGCAGCTATAGTAAGCTCAGAGCTGGGCTGTCATTTCACCAATTAAAACAATGGGGTCTTGATGCTTGATTATAGCCTATAGGGTAGGGGTGGGCAATTACTTGGGCTGGAGGGCCACTTAGGAAGTTTTGGTGAGCTGTTGCGGGTTTATGTCAGTACCCCCCTCCTCACCACCCGCAACAGCTCACCAAAACTTCCTAAGTGGCCAGGGCATGCTTGGCTGGATGGATGAGATGGGGCTGCGGGTGGGTGGGGAACAGCATCCAGGAGCAGGACAGGCAGGCAAGGCCAGGCGGTGACAAGGATCAGGAATGCAAGGCAGTGACAGCATGGGGCCTGGGGCAGAGCTCCGATCCACTCCCTGCACAATGGATCATGACTGGCCCAACCTGGGATGAAGGCAGAGTGCATGCCCATGACCTGGCTTCTGCCCCAACACGGGTGCGCACAGGCAGCCGCAGTACAACGTGGCTGCAAGCAGCATGGCCAAGCAGTGTGGGGCGGCCTAATCCAGTCACAATGTCATCGGCCCCATGCTGTCACTGCCCCAGCCCCGGCTGCCTGTCCTGCTCCTGGACACTGATCCCCACCCACCCATGGCCTCATCCCATCCACTCAGATGAATGCACCTTGCCAGAGGGGGTCCCAGACTGGTTTCCATGTAGACCCCAACCACCCACTCTGTTCAGTGCCCCCAGCAGTGGGTGTGGGGCGGGTGGGCCAGGGTGCCTGGGAGGCAGAGCTGGGTCTGGCAGTGGCAACTAGAAGAAGCTGCCACTCTAGCAGAGTCTAGCCCCAGCCCCACTGCATATCTGGGAGTGGTGGGACCAGCTGCATGTGCCATGGCTCAGGCTGCCCCCACACAAGCCTGGGCCAGGCGGAGCCAAGAGACCTGCCACAGGCTGCATAAAATCCCTTTGCAGGCCGGATCTGGCCCACAGGCCATATTTTGCCCACCCCGATGTAGGTACTTATTCACTCTTATAGCAATAAATAATAGCACAAAGTTTCTTATTTAGATTGCAGAACATTAAAACTTCTATAGTAAATTCTGTGTAATTCAGTTTGGTCTTATTTTCATAGGAATCAACAATTAAAAAAAAATCCAGCAGCCTGATTCCAGTGCTAGAAGAAATGAATAAACCCCAGCATTAAAACAGGTCTGAGATAAGGGGTGACATATTATCTGGGTTTATGCAATGACACAGCTCAATTAACTTCCACTTACCCCTATGTTGGTAGAAAAGAAAGATTCACTAAGAAAAGTATGCATCTTTATTTTAATTGTCTGCCTTGTTCATTTCAATTTTTCAAATCACTGTGTTTCACCAAATCAATTAATACATGATACAATCCACAGAGAAATAAGCATTTAGGATACTATTAGTTGAGGAGAGATTTTTTAGGTTGGAAAATACATTGTAAAGCCTAAGAGAGCTCTTTTAATTGTTTCTTTAGAAATGTATCTTGATAATAGCAACTGCTCATTTTAATCTAAAACAGAAAAGGGATTAATTTACTGTGGCATGGGAAGTTCTGCCAGTTCCCAAATGCCCTACATAGTTTCTTTCAAATTTTGATGTTCTTTAGGCCTCGAGTAAAACCAAAGCTCCACCTCCAGGCTTGGTAGCAAACAGGCTATTATTCTCCAGCGCTAACCTTTGGTCATCAGTTTTGTAATAAGCTTGTTTCACATTTTTTAGGAAAGAAGTCAGCTTGTCAGTAGGCACCATTGACACAGTGCAGCCGCCCCATCCTGCTCCAGTCAGACGTGACCCTATGGCCCCAAACTGCCTAAAATAATAATAATAAAAAAACAATTTCAGGAATGATAAACCAAAATTCAAAAAGATAATGTTTCAGACATACAATGCCTACAGAGTGCATGTGAATGTAGGACTCAATATGCATGTTTTTCTTATTAAATTCAACAGCTGTGTAAGGCACACTTGTCTATGAGCAATTTCAGCTCTTTGCAGTGAATGATTTGGACAAAGATCTCCTGGCAGCTTGACCAATATAGTTGTTACCATGAACAGCAAAACTAAGCCTCTTTTAAATGCTTGGGGATCAGCTCTTTTATAGGCTAAAGCACAGCAGAGGAGAAAAAATATATTAGCAATATGACATGGCAAAAATAAAACAGGAGAATCTTTTGAATGAACTGTCCAAGCTTCATGCAAGCCACGTTCATGTCTGGCACAGGTAGCTTGCCATAGGTTTGCTCTTCTGAGGCAGAACTAAAATATTCTGAAGATTCATGGGCTTCTGCAGAACTGTATGCAGTGCCAGCAAGGAAACAAAGGGATACACAAAAATCCCCCAGAAAGTCAGATGGAGTCCCCATTCCCTAGCCCCTGTGTCATCTGCTGTGCCTTAAAAACGAAAATTAAGACTGTTCTTCTCATCTGTACACCTTGCCTTCAGCCAGATCCAAAAATAGGAGGATTATACCTTGTATTAGATTCCTCTTCTGACATGTCTAACCCAGCTTAGAGTAGAATGAACTGGGAAACATCAGAAAGCCTATTCTCAGGATGTCTCTAACCCAATTTATGGATCACTTATTTTGATATGCTTCTGCAACGAGGTGAATCTGTGAGGTTCCCCAGCCCTAGAATGTGGCTGTAAGCAGAGAAAATGGACATGATGTTAGTAACATCTCAAAGGATAAGGATCACTGATGTTGAATAATTTCTGGCCACTTTTCACATGCACAGCCTGTTAACATACTAGGATTTACTTCTTAACTCGGGTGCAGTTACTAGGGCTGTGTGAAACTTCAGGTGCTGATTCAATCCAAGAGGAGATTCTTTCCAATTCGGTGGCCGAATCTCCAAATCCAAATTGAATCAAGGGATCAGTTAAAAGGTCCAAATAGATTTGAAGCTCTCCAAATTGATTCGGAAAAGATTTGGAGAACTTCAACAATTCGGGCAGTCCCACCCCGCTCACTGCAGCAGGGAGCTGGACTCGGACTCCATGCTGCTAAGTAGGGGGCGGGGAAGGGGGGCTAGAGGATGGGGGAGAGGAAACCATGGGGGGACCCCTGCCAGGCCCCATCCCCTGCTCGCTCCCCCAGCGCCCCCCGTGGCTGCCCACCTGCCCCAGCTCCTGGTTGTTTAAAAAAAGCCCTTACTAACTGGGTGCTGCCAGGTGGGGGGATAATCCCTGCTGCCCCATGCTGCATGGGGGGGGCTCTGCTATGAGCTGTGACCCCCCACCTCCTCTCCCAGCCCCCGCCTATGACTGCCCCGCATGCCCCAGCTCCTGGCCTTTAAAAAAAAAAGAAAACAAACAAACCCTGGACTGACTGGCTCCTGTAGTGGCCTCGGGGCTTCTGGCAGAGTCCCCCAGGCAGTGGGGGGCACTGGGGGTCGCCTCCCCACCTGGCAGGAGCCGGTGAGCCCAGGGTTTTTTGTTTGTTTGTTTTTTAAAGGGCCGGGAACTGGGGCGGGCGGGGCAGCCATGGGGGGGCTGGGAGAGCAGGCAGGGGTCAGGGGGCTTGTGAGTGGGGACATTTTTTTTTTCAAAGGAGTTGGGAGCTGGGGCTAGGCAGGGCAGCCATTGAGAGCGGGTGGGGGATGGGGCCTTTCTGATTTGGAGATTCGGCTGATTCAGCAGCAGCCGAATCTCCAAATCAGATTTGGCTGAGTCGATTTGGGGCAGTGATTTGAATCACTGAATTGAATCACTGTCCCCCAAATTGGCTGAATCCAAATCCGAAGCAAATACTAGCCGCTTCGCACAGGCTTAGCAGTTACCTGTATGGTTCACTTTAAACATGCTCAATTGGAACATATGGGCAAGTCCTTTTTCCAACTAGAAGTGCTTTTCTGAATCTGGGCCCCATTATGAGTGTGCTAAAATCACAGAAAAGAGTCAGAGGGTTAGAAGGAACTCTAAGAGTCTGACCTCCTACATTATTTCCTATCGCTATTTGATTTGTTCTTGCTTGTGTGCACATTTGTCTTGTTCTGTGTTTTACACCCTCATCCTTGTGAGCAAGGATCTTAAAAGCAGGATCCAATCCAGCCAACAATGGAAAGACTGCCATTGATTTCATCAGACCCAATCCAGTGCCCTGAGACAGCTAAATCAACTGCTTGAATTCACTTGGCATGTTACTCCATATTTAAGTTTTATATTTCAGATAAAATGTTGGCTTTTGACTGTGGAAATCATTGAAATATCTTCAGAATTATTCTGAGCCTTTTTGGATTTCATACTTCTCTGCAGTCACATCAAATGTCTCTTTTTCCTTAGTCATTTCTTAAAATGTTATAAAATGTAATTTAAAAAGAAAATAGCAAGAGCCAAAGCCACTATGCACCAGGACTGCGTCAGCAGTGGATTAGACGCATCACAAGTGCCCTAGTTTTCAGAGAGGCTGAGCACCCGTGACTGCTGATGTGATTTTAAAATATATGCATTTGGGGTTCTTTTGGATTGTACTTGACTCACCCTTCACTACAAGGGCTATGACCTTCTTTTTTTTTTTAAATGAAGCTGAGAAACTCATATGCTGGGGCTTTAGGAAAATCACCAATCATGTATTAAGTTGCATGACTTGGCTGCTCTCTGATGATGTCTGGCTGATACTCAAAAGCACAAAAGGGATCTAGGAGCTTACATGTGAGTGATTTTCAATGGAACGTGTGCGCCTAAGAGTATGCCTTTGCCACAGTGGTAGCACGTCCTGGTTAGAACGTTTCCAAATGTGCACCCACCTACCTGCACCTGCTTTCATACTTTAAGCTAAAAATATGTGGGTGGAGCTGCCTTCAAGACTTCAACGTTCAGTGAGCTTGACAGGAGCGTCTGGGGACACCCCCAAAGTAGTCTCATTGGCACACTGCTAATGGAGTGTGCAAGCAGTTGCTAGGGGAAGAGGGATGTGCTCAGGCATATCCTGGCCCAGACATGCTGGTGTTGTAATATAGATATGCTCTAAATCTCTTCACATACTCCTTGTATTATATGTTCCATCTGTTTTAAAGATCTAATGGAGAAAATGGCCATTACTAAAATGAGATAGACAGAAAGTGCAAAAAATGTTGACTAACCAGTGGCTAAACTTTTCAGCCCTCCAAACCACAGCCAATATGGATCTCTTTTGTTCTTGGCAGGGAGCATATAGTAAAACATAAAGACTTAGGCAAAACTGAAAACATCTGGATATGTAGATTATTCTTTGCAGTTTATACATTGCAAGCAAGAGAATGCCACAGACATAGGCAATGCTATGGAATGTATTTTTGGAAAGATTTTTTTTTAATTACCTGGCAGCTGCATATGATTGTAAGTAAAGAATTTAAATTACAAAACAGTTGGTCTCAGCTTAGTCACATCAGCCAAACTTTTCAAAAACAGCTAGTAATTTTAGGTGCTTATATTTTGAGCATCCAATTTGAGATCCTTTGAGAGGGTCTTTTCCAAGACTGGATGCTCAGTGCTTTTGAAAATCAGGCCCCTGTAAAGCACCCACAAATGGAGGCATCAAAAATGCTAAGTCACTTTTGGCTATCAAATAAAAGTCTGTGTCAGTCAATTCTGACAATTAGCAGTAGGTAATAAAATACCTGTCAAAGCGCCCTCTATGCTTCAGGAATGTCAAACCACAAAGAAAATGAAGCATGTTAATATTTCCTAACTAAAATATATTCTGTGTAGAATAAAACTGGAATGACTAGTGAACAAATAACGCATTTGATTCATTTTAATTTCATATAATAAAATACTAGTCCCTTGCTTGCACCTAAGTGCCCCCTTCCTCTAGATTCTACAGGTACAGCCACACTTCAGGCTGCAGTGCACTGCAGAGCTGTAAGTAACCTCATTTACATATGGAGGCATTCTACCTCTGGCAGCAGAGGCCAAGGACAGACATGTATGTGCCCTTGTAGCACTACAAAAGTGAGGGCACAGACATGCACACTTCCTGCAGCACTATAAACATGGCAGAAATGTAACCAGCCTGTCTGCTCCCCAACTTGTCCACTCCCCTGGGACTGGGCTGTCAATAAATGCAGAACTGGGCTTGCCCACAGTGGACATAATTGTTGTGGGGGAGGAAGAGGGGGCTGCAGCTTTGCTCACCACAGATGAACTCTGTCCCAGGTCTGTGCTCACTGACAGCCTGATCCTGTAGGGCTATAGCTCTGCTCACTGTGCTCTGCAGGAGGCACAAGGCTGTCAGTGATCAGGTTCATTAACAGGCTTCCCTCCATCACTGCCTCCCCCACCCCACCATGGGTGGCAGGGAGCACAGGTGCAAGGCTGAGCAACGCCCTCTCACCCATGGCTGGAAAGCACAATGCAGAATGCCTTCACAGTGACTGGGTACCACTCCAGCTGAGAAGACAGACACCTTCACTATTAGAACTGGAGTCAAGCAAGCATGTGTGATTGCACCAGCACTCTTTTCCATTGATATCACAGCTATTCCACATCTCATTGCTGATAGATTTCCATCTGGAGTCAGCATCTAGTATCTCATGGACAGGTAACTGGTTGATGTTAAAGAGATTTGTTCTTCCATTACTGGTCTTCAATATGCTGGTGATTGTGTTGTGTGTGCCCAGCAGTTGAAGAGCTCCAGGTCATTCTTGATTGTTTCTGCGAAGTGTATGCAATGCTTGGACTCACTGTCAACTATATGAAAACCAAAATTTCCCCTACCTGGGTAGCCACCTTTCCCAAAAAGTAAAACATAGATGATATTCAACATTGGCTAAAAGCTGCCAGTGTTACCTTTGGATGTCTCCAAAATCGTGTCTTCAGTAATTATGACA